AATTTGTATTTTTACTTAGATAATGGTCAAAAAACAATTTTCGTTCGATGCCATGATTACTGTAAAATTTTGAATTATATCTTGTTTTAACAATCAGCTGTTAAAAACGTATAAAATTAAGTTATATCAACTCAAAGGTATTTTCGATCTTTATTACTTTATGCTTAAGCATGTAGCATAAAGGAATTGTAATCATATTTAGAATATTCAAGCTACTTTTTAATAAGTGATAGTTAAAAATACAAAAATCATGAAAAAATTACAAAATGTCATCTCATATACATTTGTATATTATAGTTCAACTCATGTATCAATTATATTCTCAGAGCTGGTGTTTGTAGATTAACATTTTGATTATTTTGAAATTGTCCACAAACATGGTGTTTAAATTGTTTTATTCGGTGAAATTGTACGGTTTAGAGATTTTTTTGAATGTATTAGAAAATTGCATAGGTATTTTGAAAAATTCGTCTCTTTGAGTATAATACTATGTTATTAGTAATATTGTCGGTCTTATATTTTGGAATTATTCATATTTTTTAAGCTTAGTAACATATAAAAAATCCTATTGAATATCATCATTGTTGGGCGTTTTTAAAATAAACATAAAGCATATATTTGTCAAGATTTTTGTGTGTATCAATTCACCATCCCTCCAAAAAAGTTTATTTCAAATCATAATGAACATTTTTAATCCATTTGAATAAAATTATTGTTGAAGGTTGTATAGAGTGTAATAATGTCAAACCAGAACGTAATGAATTTTTTTTTCGCGCTCGAGGAAAGAAAAAACCGTATCGAACAGATGTGCAACGACCTAAAAAATCATATATTATAATACAGGGTCTTCCAGAGAATCACCGTCACAATAGTAAAAAAAATGTACTTGCACAGTTTTATTGTAGAAAAGAGAATTTACATCATATGCGTCGTTAAGAGTTAATAATAGCCGTAAAATTAGTACGGACGAGTTAATAATCCTGAAATTGAAACGACGAACGTTAATTGTGATATTTCCAACGCCTCCAATGTCCAAATCGTACAGGAGCTGAAGCTGGAGACTACCGATTTTATTTTCGGGGAAGTGTACGTACGAATGGATACACGATCATAAGGATATGAGTTGTAAGACGTGATATTTTTTAGCTTTTGGACCTTGATGTAGGTTATTATCGATAAGGATTCTGTTTTGAATTAAACAAAATTGTAAGCACGTTATATTTGTTTCTACGGGAGTAATTTCAAATTTTCCAATTTTCCCGGACAAGCCTATTTGAACACGTATTTGTTATTGTTGTTTATATTATTATTATTACTCGGGAAATCGGCCGGCGTCGCTGTCATCGGATGATTAACGAGACGGGAGGCGTATTAAACGCCGTAGATTTGTCTTCGCGCAAAACGCGTATTAATTACGACAACGATATTATAATGTTCGCGTTTGATTGCCCGTAGATCCGGCCCGCGACACTCTTCCAACCCCGCGAACGGGATGAATTATGCTCGTGCGATTATTCAACGCCAGGCGCGACGCCGGTCTCCCCGGAAACGGTATTAATCGCGTCCGACGAGACGCCGCGACGAGTAATGTCACGCAGGCTTCGACCCTGTCACTTACCGACTGCGGTATAGCTTTTCACTGCTACCGCAAAACGGTGATAGTAATAATAATAGTTATAATAACAATATGTTCGCCAAGTCTCGTAAGTAACACGGGCCCGGTGCACGTATTACCATAGCACATGTACACTTACCTACCACAAGTGCTCGATAACAATAATTTTTGAGACAATTTTATTTCTCTTGTTTTCGCTACTGCAACGTTGTAATCGTCTGTTACGTTCGATTATAATATATATATGTACCTACACATTTTGTCGCCACTGCAGATAGAATCGCTCATTTAACCGAATGGGTATCCTGTATTAATAATTTTAGAAAGTTTCTGTCGTAACGCAGTTAAACGAATGTAGATTTTTATTATTCTTATTAAGATGAAACCTCATTCACTGGAAGGGTAAAAATAATTTAGGCATGGCCGTTTTCGACCAAAAACATACCCCTTCCCTTTTCGGTCGATTCTCTTTTCGACCAAATTTAAAATAGGCCGATTCCCTTTTCGACCAAAACAAAAATTGATAAAATAAATTTAAAATATTAAAATAATGATGTATAATTGTTGTCAATAATTATTAAAATATTAATATAAAAGAGAACGATATTTTTTATCCAGTTTTGAACACTTATCGTAATGAAAATTGTATGCATTTTGTTTTCGAAAAATCGTAACTTTAAAAATTTTATGACTTCGCTCTTTACGACTGCCGGCTCTATTCGTAAACTCAAGTGCCACTGGGTGGCACTTCTCGAGGGGATGGGGCTTCACCCCAAGGAGAATTATAGTCTAAGCCTAACCTAGTTTTTGTAGAAACCTTGATACTGTTGCAAATGGGATTATGCTCTGTATGTGAACCTATAACCTCACTACGCGAGTAAAACTTTGAATCGTCATTAATATATTATAATAGTTTCCATCATAATCAAACATTGTACATCATTATATTATTATTTTAAATTTATTATATAAATTTTTGTTTTAGTTGAAAAGGGAATCGTCTTATTTTAAATTTGGTGGAAAAGTGAATCAGCCGAAAAGGGAAAGGTACGATTTTGATCGAAAACGGACTCGCCCAATAATTTTTGGTGTTACTATCCGATACCGGAGAAAATTGTATCGAAAACTAATACAATTAGATAATATATATACTATAATAATCTAAGCAACACGAATGCAACCTCTAACCTTTCATCGTATCCTGCCCGAACTTATCAATCTCCAGTTACAGTACTACCGTTTCGTTTTAACCGTTTGTGCATAGAGGAACTACTATGTACGTGCGTTACGCCAGCACCGCCCATTAGGAAAATTTGATTTTTTTTACTATCAATAATTAGCACGTAATTAGCATGAATTTGCATGACCAATTTCGCAATTTGCATGTCATCCATTTCTCCAGAATCGCAACAATTAACGGGCGGTGCTGGCGAAACGTTTCGCCATCACCGCCCAATCGCAAAAATGGAATTTCATATATTTTTTCATAGCCATTATTTAGCACGCAATTAGCATTAATTTGCACGACTATCACTTGCATATATTCGTGAATTTTACATATTTCGTAAAAATTTGAACTCTATGCACTTATAAAAATACAATTGTGACTTACACTTTTTGTTTTTTTTTATATCCGATAAGGAAAACTTATAAGGCACTCTGTATTAAATTTTCCTAAAAAATGTCCTAATTATCTATTTAGGTTAATTATCTAGTTATCTAGATTAGTTCATATTTAATGCTCACTTTGTTTAAATGAGTAAAATATTATATTGTACGGCGAAAGGTAACATAAACATTTTACAAATAAAAGAAACAGCAGTTAACTTACATTTTTCACCATTATCTTTAACAATTATTCGGTCTTTAAATTGAAGCACTGCTTCAACTACTACATCAGGATGAAGGGAAGGCTTTCATCCTTTCATTTTATAAGTAGTTTATAGATAAAATAATCAAAAAGCACTTTAATAATGAAAATATATTCACAAAAGAGTGAACAACAGAACAGACTGTTAAATAATACCTGATAACAAGTCACAATGTCTTATATTTGTGTACATATTACGTCAAAAATAGAATGAAATACGCTGTCCCACTTTTGGTAACTTCCTACAATTATAATTTTTTTTTTTGTATCATTTCTAAAATCTATATTTGGATATAATTCTAAATACAAAATAGTAGTGAATATATATATTCGTATATATGTATACACGTATATATTCGTGCAACAAGGGTGTGGAGCATACTCAAAATCTTGTGCATGAAAGAGATAAACAAATAAATCCCCCCGCCGCATCTATATTACACTTACCGTCATCACTAGGAGACTGTCGCGGGCGGCCGTGGTGTCGTAATAATAGTATAATCACTATAGTATTATAGTAAAAATCTAACTTAAAATATTAAAGAACAAAAAAGCTCAAAAGAAAGAAATTCGTAAAATTTCGATTTTGGGCGGTGCTGGCGAAACGCGTAAATTCTTGGATACGTTATTGCACGGAAACAACGATCGAGCGAATTTCGGGGATAGCCGTGCAAATTCATGCTAATTGCGTGCTAAGTAATTGCTATGAAAAAATATATGAAATTCCATTTTTGCGATTGGGCGGTGCTGGCGAAACGTTTCGCCAGCACCGCCCGTTAATTTTTGCGATTTTGGAGAAATGGATGACATGCAAATTGCGAAATTGGTCATGCAAATTCATGCTAATTACGTGCTAATTATTGATAGTAAAAAAAATCAAATTTTCCTAATGAGCGGTGCTGGCGTAACGCACGTCTACTATGTCATATTTGAAGTTTTTACGGTCTGTTGCTTTCAGGGGCGGCTCGTCAGGGGAGACTTTGAGACTGCTTCTCCCCTTAAAAATAAACTAGCTACTTGTAAATAATATAATTAATTAAAAATAATAATGTATAGAAATATTTTCATTTGTATTTAAAATATATTATTATATCGTTTTCATTGTTTATTATTATATTAAATTGAAAGTCACAAAATCGAAAACCTATTAATAGCTATTTCGATAGAAATACTATTTTAGTCATTCTGCGGGTAATTACGGCTCATTACGACAGTCCCAGTTCAATGAAACTGAAGCCCGTCAGTTGCAAACGTAACATGTAATGACATGGCTAGTTGGTCGGAGGGAGCCGAGGTGAATAAGCTGCGTATCATAAACGCTTTTGAACCTGGGTTCACGACAGTAATTGCCGTGCCGCTGCGCCGTGTAGCTCGTATTTAATTATTTTTACTAGCTTTAGACGTTTTATTCACGGTTTATTAATTATTTAATAATTATTATACGTATATCCGTCTAACATTTATTATTAAATTTTACATTTATATAAGCATTTCAGCATTTGTTCATATTTTAAAATGCAAAAAGAAAATATAATAGAATTTTTACTAACCAGTGGTTTTAATGCTTTAACATACGAACAAAAAAATCAAATTAAACTTAATCGCCCAACTCCTCATTTATTATTAACATGTCAAGACGGTAAATATATTAGAACATTTCAAAAGAATTGGTATAATAAATTTCCATGGCTTACTGGTTGTGATAAACGAAAGAAAGCGTTTTGTTTTACTTGTGTAATATTTGGAGGGGAAAAGGAATGGAGTGTTAATGGATTGTCATCAATAAAAAATTTTTTAAGGAAATCAGAAAAACACGCCATTTCCCAAAAACATTTAACTATTCAAGAAAAATTTCATCTATTGGGTAAAGTCCGAATTGAACACGTGATTTCAGAAGGTCGACGACTTGCTGCTGTAAAACATAACGAACAGGTCGGTATAAATAGACGTTTAATAGCACGTATGATACATGTTGTTTGTTTTTTGGGCAAACAAGAACTTGCTTTTCGTGGCCACCGGGAAAATAATGAATCTTTAAATAAGGGGAATTATCTTGAATTACTCGAACTACTGGCTCAAGAAGAGCAGTTGCTTAAAGAGCACTTATTGTCATCGGCAATATTTAAAGGGACATCTAAGATGATACAAAATAATTTGATTGAATGCGTTACTTCCGTTTTAAATTCAAAAATTTTTAATGAAATACAAAGAGTTAATTACGTATCTATTCAAGCAGATGAAACGACTGATGCATCGTGCCGATACCAAATGAGCATAATTTTTCGGTATGTTGTAGAACAAAAAATTGTAGAACGATTTATTGGTTATTTTGACGTTTCAAAGAATAAAACAGCCTCTGGATTAGCAGATATAATTTTATCTGAAATTAATAAGTGGAAAATTGGAAATAAAATTATATGTCAGACCTATGATGGTGCATCGATTATGTCGGGAGAAAAAAGTGGTGTACAATTTCTTATAAGGCAAATTTATCCAAATACATTATTTATTCATTGTTACGCACATCAGTTGAACTTGGTATTGTTACACGGAGCGAAGACAATAAAATCAATCAAACTCTTTATTTGCAATCTAACTATGTTCCATACGTTTTTTAGTCGGTCTACAAAAAGAAGTGAGTTGTTAAGAGAACAAGGTTTTAAACTTTCAAATCAATCTGACACTAGATGGAATTATCATTCAAGATCTGCTTTTACAATAAAAAACATTTTTAGACCTCAAAAATGCTGTTTTAAATGTAACTGAAGAACCAGTTTGGGACCCTATATCCGTTTGTACAGCATCTGGTCTTTATGATAAGCTAAATGATGCGAACTTCGTATATTTCTTGATTTTGTTTGGCAAAGTTTTTTTATACACAGATCATGTATTTAACTTTCTCCAATTAAAATCACTTTCGAATATAAAATCTTGCATTCCTGAAATTCAAAATTTAAAAAAAAATTTGACCGATTTAAGAAATGATACAAATGTGAATAACTGTTGTGACGAAGCAATACTATTAAACAACAATTTAGAGTACGAAGACAAAAAACGAAACGAATTACGTAAAATTACATATGATATTCTAGATTCATTAATCGTCCAAATTAACATACGATTTGAAGACTTTCCAAAACTAGAGTTTGTAGAAATTGTAAATGAAAAAATGTTTATAAGCTACTACACTCAATTTCCTGAGGCAAAGTTCATCAAGTTATTACAGCAGTACCCTAATACTTTTGATGCAAATCGTTTACGCAATGAATTGGCTGTAATTTATGTGGATGATAAAAAACATTTGCCTCCTCATGAACTCCTAGATTTTATAATAAAAAGTAAGTGATAATAATAAATTCATTCAAACTAAATATCATTAATTTTCATATTATATTTAATTTTTCCTTTGAAATTTACAGGTGATTTACATCAAGATATTTATCCTCAGGTGACTAAACTTTGTCAGTTAGTGTTAACTATTCCATCTACGACAGCTTCTAGTGAACGGTCTATGAGTACATTAAAACGTATCAAGACTTTTCTTAGAAACACAATGACCAATGATCGGCTTTCAAGTTTATCATCCTTGGCGATTGAAAAAAATCTACTGGGTGATATGGCATATGATCCAACTTTTGTAGACAATGTTATTGATGAGTTTGCAGATAAAAAAGATCGAAGAATTGAATTAGTTTATAAACAAATTTAGTATTAAATTAAGTTAAAAATATTAACTAAATATTAAATGAAATAATAATATTTAAAATAATTCATTTTTTCAATAAAAAAGGTTTTTCTTGTTCGTTGTTATTTGAAATTTATGTTATATAATTTAAGTCTCCCCAGAATATTTACTCACGAGCCGCTACTGGTTGCTTTTGAGATGTAGTGATGATCAGTGAGTGAGTGGTATTTAGCTTTTATACATATATACATATATAGTTATAGATTTTATCGATGCACTCGTATGCTCGGAGGCGTGACTTTGATATATGAAATCTGAAACAAGAGTTCGAGAGTTGTAAAAGTACCAAGCTATCATGGCTGCGTAAACAAAGCCTTAACTTTATATATAATATATAAGCTTTACGTATATTATATTAGTATAAATGCATGCAATGGTATTTAAAAAAATACTGAAAATACCAAAATATACATTAGCCTCCCGACCATAGCTGTTAAATTATCATGTTTTAAATCTCAGTAGGATCTATTCGCTGAAAGTCCGTAATAAGCCAGATCAATTAGTATTATTTTTATATTTTTCTTACTTATCTAGATAAAAAGGCCCAGTGTTATCTGTAATAAAATTAAGAATTGGACTTTAAAACATCATCTTCTTCATGAACACTTTTAACTATTAATTTTATTCGAGTCACATTATAGTCCAAATACTTTGTTTAAAAGTTCTTCTAAAGCATAACACACTATGAAAGTTTGAAAAATAAATAAAATATTTCACTAAATAAAAATGTTCACGTTATAACTTTAAACATACACCACTAATATAAGACTCAAACCGTCAAAGTTTTAATATGCTAATGTTTAAGAATTAAAAAAAGGTACAAATTATACCAGTAGTAAAGTCCTGAGGGAATAGCTTTTTTGTGCAATTCTCAACGCTTTAAAGTTTTTGAAAACTCAAGCTAACGCGAATTCACCCTACAAGGTACATAATAATAATATTTATTTATTATACATTGGGAATTGGGACCGTGCAACTATATAACATTATAAGGATGTAAAGTGAAGTTATGAGTTCGACTACAGTACATGTGATTCGACATTGGGTGTACATATTTTATAACATAATGCTAATGTCCAATATCGTTTTGTTTTTTCGTGTTTAGTCAAACAGATCAAGACCACACAGTGGGCAGCCGCATTCAACATCCAGATTCATATTTTTGAAAAGGAGAGGGTTCCTGGATCTTTACCCTCTTCCCCCCCCCAAAAAAAAAGGTTCAAAAGTCATAAATAACTTGGCACGAAGGTATAGATAAAGTGAACATTAATTTGTATTATATAGTTGTAACTAATTCTTCATGTATATTTATAATAATAAAATAACATAATTATTTACTAATATCTTATATGTATTTTATATAATATTATAAAATAACTTATTATTTAAAATAATCTTAACTTTTTAATTTAAAATTGTATTTTTTTTTTCTACAAATTCAAGAAACACGAAACAATAGTGATTGTGTTTAAAACGTGAATATTTTGTAAGGGTTTTATACACCTTTCCGCAATGTACGTATAATGAGATTGATAAAAGCATCTGTATAATAAAATAATATACGTTGTATATACGTATAACTAGTATAAATAATGTCATAAGAGAACACATAATAATATTACCATGTTTTTTATGGTTTTTGTTTATTTTTACCATTTTGTTAATCCAATATTTAAATGTGTTTAGTTATAATTTCCGGTGCTTTTTAATTGCAGAATACTGTTTGTTTTAAAATGATCTTTTTAATTAGAGTTAACCTTGGTTATATTACGTATATTAGCAGTATATACAATGAGTTGTACCAAATAATCAAGTATTCGAGTTAACTGAAATAAATGAAAATCACGAAGGAATAACGAAAAAGTTATTATATATATATATATATATATATACAGTGTGTTCACGCTAAGAGGTACCACTAAATATTTCAGTTCGATGACCTTGTATTGAAATGGGGTTTTCACTGAATGATATATAATACTTAAATACACATTTTTAGATAAATTTCAAATTTTTTACACTTTCGAATCGCACATGCGCGATACAATTTACTTTTTTTTTAAAGTAACACCAATTTTTTTTTACATTTTCAGATAGAGTATTTTTTTCTAAACAATTTATGTATAAAATTTTTTTCCTAATTATAAAATTTGCATATGAAATTTAAGGATGAACTTTAATATTTACGAGTAATTTGTTTTTGACAAAATTCTAACTAAATTCAACTTATGTCACTTATTACTATCTAATATTGTTAAATGCCTGTTTACACACAGATAAGATATAAGTAAACACTTTTTTTATCGTAATTTACTCTCAATTTTTTTCATTCATTATTCTGAAATAAGATAGCTAATTGAAGGCAATGAAAACTATAAAATTGTACACACTTAGAATTTGGAATCAAGATTTATTTTTTTACAACTAATTTCTACAGTTCTATCTAATAAATTGTTAGAAGTTTCCACCTTAATGTTTCAAACACAATTCCAAACGTTTTATAAATTCCGTTGATGAAGCAGCGTTTATTTGTTCTTCTCTCAAATTATTACAAGCCAGTCGTATTTTGTTTTTAAATCTTGGAGATTAATAGGTGGGTCCGCATATAAAACATTTTTTAAATGCCCCCATAAAAAAAAATCCAATGGGGTCAAATCTGGAGATCTGTCTGGCCATGAAATTACTCCATGGGTACCAATCCATCGGTTAGGAAAAGTCATTTAAATATTGTTTAACAATGATGGCGTTATGTGCTGGTGCACCGTCTTGTTGAAAATACATACTTTTTTGCGTGGTTAATAGAACATTTTCTAACAGTAATGGTAATTGATTAACAAGAAAATCTAGATATCTTTTACCTGTAAGTGTTCCCCGTCGTAAAAATAAAGACTCGCAAATACTCCACCAATTAATCCACACCACAAATTTATACCCCAAACTGTCTAAAAGTTAATTTCTCGGAACCAGTGTGAATTTGTATCGTCCCAAAACCTATTGTGTTGTTTGTTCATTATACCATTGTTTGTGAATTTAGATTAATCAGTTCACAAAATACTATTATAAAATAAATTGTCGATTTCGAATTTAACGCTAAACCATGACAAAAATTGTAATCTACGTTTATAATCTTCGATTCGTAAATGTTGGATAAACTCAGGTTTATACGGATGCATTTTGTTTTTTTTTTTCAAAATTTTATGTACTGCACCACCTGATACACCAATTTGTCGAGATACATGTCTTATTAATGAACGTGGATAAGCACGTATGTAGGCCATTACCTGAAATTCAGTGTCTTCTTCAAAATTATTTGGTCTAGGCTGCCGTTGTCTATTTTGATTGCTAGGAAATTGACCGTTTTCATTTAATCCGCGTAAAAGTCTATAGACATAATTATGATGTGGATGAAACCTATCTGAATACCGATCTGCGTATACCCGAATAATGCGTATACCTGAATACCGAGCTGCTTGTCGAGAACTACGATTACATTCGCCAAAAATTAAAATAAGTTTGACTTTTTTCACTGCGATTCATTTTAATAAATTTATTTTATGTAAAACAGTGTATTAAAGCAATAACATTTTTTTTCAGAAAAATATGTGATACCTAACCAGAATAAAACACTATGCTACATGAATAGTAATTGTCACAAGACTAGTTTGAAATCATTCAAACAATTATTACTAGTCAGTGAAAATAATTTATCAACATTTTATTTATAAAATAAATCTATAACGAACAGGATTTACTATCTTAATTACTGGTAAATGTTGTCACAGTTATTTTTACTATCTTATCTGTGTGCAAACAGGTATTTAACAATATTGGATAGTAATAAGTGAAAATAATTTAATTTAAATTTCGTCAAAAACAAATTAATCGTAAATATTAAAGTTCATCCATAAATTTCACATGCAAATTTTATAATTAGAAAAAAAAAATGTTTAAATTGTTTAGAAAAAAATACTCTATCCGAATATGTAAAAAAAAATTGGTATTACCATTTAAAAAAAAAGTAAGTTGTATTGCGCATGCGTGAATCGAAAGTGTTAAAAATTTGAAATTTTTCTAAAATTTTGTATTTAAGTATTATCTGTCATTCAGTGAAAACCCCATTTCAATACAAGGTCATCGAACCGAAATATTTAGTGGTACTTCTTAGCGTGAACATACTGTATATATATGTTTTTTTTTATACATGAGTCATACATTTGAGCTTTACAGTGATTCCTAGTGGTAGGCATACAGTATTTTCATTTAAATATTACAACGATGAAACTTAATTTATTATAATTAACTTCTTAACAATATAGCATGGTGAAAATAAAATGTATTTATTAGTACCATTGAAATGGAACATGTATTTGGATAGGTTTTTTTTTCAATTTAATTTATGTTCTCGAAATTACAGTTTTAAACTATTATTCGCTTTTCGTATACATAGTTAAAATACTAATCAAATATTGAAATATACACTTAATACGTACAAATAAATTGAAAAAACGAATTCAACATAATACAGCGGCTAATAACAAATACTAATTATCGTATATAATTTAAAAATAAATTAATCTCGATACACTAATATAATAGTTATCCTATTTATACAGAATTCTGGTTGGTGATTCATAAATATAAAATGAAAACATTTATATGAAAGGGCAAATGAACACGTTAATTTTTTTCATAGAGCTTCAACATAAACACTGCTTTATGATGTTAAAATTAAAATGATGTAGGTGCACGGATTTTTTGGCTATACTTTAAATGCATATATTATATGTGTGCTATAATATAATAATGAATATTTCAAATATGCATACAATGTATTATTAAATAATTGTAATGTTAATTTTTTTTACAACAATATTAGTATTGATTTAGGAAATTATTTTACTCGTATAAATACGTAGTATACACGTAGATACAGTATTGACTCATAAATCATTTTTTCTCGAAATTTAACCGTATATTT